AGCAAAATCTCATTGATATTAGTAATGTGTATGGGTAGACATCGAGGTTTACTCGATTCAATGAAAGATCAAGAATGTATTGAATATAGTGCACAAACATTGATCGATAGTTGGAAACAAGTTGCCATATTTGAATACAATGAAAAGAAAATTATGAAGATTCGAAAACAAATCCCACCAATGTCGGCTACCATTATCAAGCGAACACCACCGGTGACGACACGATTTTAACATCGATCTTTTCAATGGCATTATTGACAATCATGTTTAAATCAAAACTTATAGATATTAGTATTTTTTTATTCCTAAGAAAAGTGATTTCTACTGATCATTTATTTTTTATCTGATCGTAACATTGGGTGTGGGTGAGTGAGGATGCTTGTATTCTTCTCATTCACTACCCACACTCACATCCTTAGCACGACTTCCGAATAAACTATGTCTGATCTCGACGTGAGTTACAACATTATATTCAATTCAGTGCTCGTGTTACTCAGACTTGACACTTGTTAATGTCAATCATCAGACAATTAAAAAAAAGGAATATCATACTATATACTATTTCTCTTTCAGTTGCTCATTCTTCTTTTTTTTTGACAGACACAATTAACTCAAGTTCTACATCATAGTGGCAAAAGAACAATCAAAATCTCATGATCGATATGAGTTTTGTCGAGTAACCGTTCGTGATGGTCTCAAGTTTACGAGCTCACTTATTCTACCACTTGTGTTGGGTATTTTTACTGTAATTATTATAGTGCATCAACAGAATGTTGCCACAAATCAGCGTATGGAAGATCGACAGTTGGCCAAAGAACAACCAAACAAAAGGGTGTGGGTGTAGATACTTGCTGTTTATATAGGGAAAGAGACATTTCGCACCCACTTTTTCTTACGGTTTCCCTGAGAAAATGATCGTTTCGATTTCCCGACATGTAAAAATATACAAAATCTTCGGAATGACAAAGATTTAAAACAAGTAGGGTGTTACACTGGGTGTGAGTGTGGATATATAAGCCATTCTTTTTTCATACTACACACCCACACCCTCACCCTCACCCT